GAGACCCCTCTAGCACTCTGCTTCTTCCTATTTCCCTGGAGTCTTCATTCATCATGGTATGTCCCTCTCCATTCTCCCACACTGCTCCTGATCTAGCTGGGACCTCCCTCTCCCCTAAACTCTCTTTCCCCTGACCCTTGCCCCCCCCCCCCTGCGCATGTGCGCGCGTGAGTTTGCTCATGTAGATCTCATCGTCTATTTCTCTGTCACTGGGCGATCCCTGTGTCTTTCTTAGGTTCCTCTTTACTAGGTGGCCTCCCTGGAGTTGTGAGTTGCAGTCTGGTTATTTTTTGCTTTACATTTAGTATCCACTTATGAGTGAGTACGTACCATGTTTGTCTTTCTGAGTCTGAGTTACCTCACTCAGGATGATTTTTTTTTCTAGTTCCATCCATTTGCCTGCAAACCTCATGATGTCATTGTTTTTCTCTGCTGAGTAGTACTCCATTATGTATATGTACTACATTTTGTTTATCCATTCTTCAGTTGAAGGGCATCTAGGTTGTTTCCAGGTTCTGGCTATTACAAATTATGCTGCTATGAACATAGTTGAGCATGTGCCCTTGTGGTATGATTGAGCATTCCTTGGTATATGCCCAAGAGTGGAATAGCTGGGTCTTGAGGGAGGTTGATTCCCAATTTTCTAAGAAAGCACCATATTGATTTTCAAAGTGGCTGTACAAGCTTGCATTCCCACTAGCAGTGAAGAGAGTTCCCTTTGCTCCACATCCTCTCCAACATAAGCTGTCTTCATTGTTTTTGATCTTAGCTATTCTGACGGGTGTAAGATGGTAGGTATCTCAGAGTCATTTTGATTTGCATGTCCCTGATGATTAGGGATGTTGAACAATTCCTTGAATGTCTTTCAGCCATTTGAGCTTCTTCATTTGAGAATTCTCTTTTTAGCTCTACAGTCCATTTTTTAATTGGACTGTTAGGTATTTTGATGTCTAATTTCTTGAGTTCTTTATATATTCTGAATATCAGCCCTCTGTCAGATGTGGAGTTGGTAAAGATCTTTTCCCATTCTGTAGGCTGTCATTTTGTCTTATTGACCATGTCCTTTGCCCTACAAAAGCTTCTCAGTTTCAAGAGGTTCCATTTATTAATTGTTTCTCTCAGTGTCTGTGCTACTGGTGTATATTTAGGAAGTGATCTCTGGTACCAGTGTGTTCAAGACTGCTTCCTATTTTCTCTTCTATCAGGTTCAGAGTAACTGGATCTATGCTGAGGTCTTTGATCCAGTGGGACTTAAGTTTTGTGCCGGTGACAGATATGGATCTGTTTGCAGTCTTCTACATGTTGACATCCAGTTATGCCAGCACCATTTCTTGAAGATGCTTTCTTTTTTCCACTGTACAGTTTTGGCTTCTTTGTCAAAAATCATATGTTCATAGGTGTGTGGATTAATGTCAGGGTCTTCAGTTCGGTTCCATTGGTCCACATGTCAGTTTTTATGCCAGTACCAAGCTGGTTTTATTACTGTAGCTCTATAGTAGAGTTTGAAGTCAGGGATCATGGCTAGCCATAGTTTCTTATGTTTCAAGAAAACTGACTCCTTCTCAAAGTTTTCTGAAGCAGGGGTATTTCATACTAATTAATTGAAAACATTTAAATTTGATTACTTCTACACATTTTGCTAGCTTACTGTATATATAGATGAGTAATGTGTATATATATTACTGTATATATAGATAAATATTGTAAATAGATAATGTAGTGAGATCTTTCTTTTTAAAAGAAAGGTTAGATTAATAGAGTTTAGAATTCTTGTGAAAATGTCTTACCAAGTTTTCAGCACCTCGATGTCCTAGACGTGAAATGGCACATGTATGCCTGCCATAACGAAGGAGACTCCGCACACAGGCACAGGGCTAGGGGATGGCAGAGCTCTACCACTCCAGGGCTGCATGGCTCTCAGCAAGTTATGTAACCAACCCTCACTACTGTGTCTTCTTTTGGTAAACATATCAAGAGCGGTAAATGCGATGGCCCTCACCAGCACCTTATTAATCTTCCTTGTACACAGCTTCATACTTTCCCAACCCCAACTTCCAACCAGTACACAGGTAGAGTTGGTGAGATCCAGATGACAAAGCCACACATGTCAGTAGTTTCCAATTCCTCTAAAACGAAAAACAAGCAGAAGCAAATAGTTGACCAATGGCTTTAAAAAATACATGTGAATGGGGATCATGTGTGTATGGCCTATAAATATAAATGAGGACCTTTGACCCAGATATTCTAATGGCTTTAATAAAAATTACTATGTTAATCTGGAATTATTCCATAGTCTTTATGTTGGTGGTGGTTTTGGTTTTTTGAGACAGGGTCTCTCTATGTAGTCCTGGCTGTCCTCGAACTCACAAAGGCTGCCTTCCTCTGCCTCCCTAGTGCTGAGATTAAAGGAGTGTGTCACTATACTCAGCCCATATTATATTTTAATTACCAGATTTGTAAATTAGTTAAGTTCTTCCCATAATCACGAGAAACTCAAATAGGAAGATGCAACCTAGCCTGATGATTTCTTACTTAATTCCACTAATGGCAAGTTAGTCAGTAAACCCTTAGGGAGGATGTTTTCCACTAAGAGTCAGACTTGGAAATGCCTTGGCTATTTTTATAAGCTAACTTGACTGGTAATTCCTAGAGCACAATAACTTCAAGTTTGTTTGTTTTTAAGGCACCACTTTGAACTTCTGACTTTTCATCGTGTGTGTGTGTGTGTGTGTGTGTGTGTGTGTGTGTGTGTGTGTGTAGCCATCTGGTCCAGAAGTTGATGTTGGATGTCTTCCTTCATCACTCTATACCCTATTTTTTGAGACAGGGTCTCATTGAACCTGGATGTCACCAGTTCAGGGAGACCAGCTGGTCCTAAAGCCCCTAGCAATCCTCCTGTCTTCATTTTCTCAGCACTAGAATTCAAGAAATGCTTTGCCACCCCTGACTTTTTGTTATGGGTGCTAGGGAATTGAGTTCAAGTCCTTACGATTGCATGGCAACCACATAGTGACAGAACCATCTCCCTAGCAACACCCCCCCCCCCCCGCCACACACACACACCGTCTGCAATGTCAGGGGTTGCAACAGTATTCTTGAAGAGACCTGAACAAACACCTCTTCACCTTAGATAGGCCACCAATGACAGATCAAATGAACAGTTCCATTCAAACCCAGCTTGCTGGGTTCTATTGGGCTTACTTACAGGAACATGGGTGTGGTATTGTTAGCAGGACCATAGGTAACCCCGAAACAGCTGCATCTTCAAAAAGTTCTACTCCAGGGTGGGTGACAACTTCCCAAAAGCTTCATACATGGAGTGAATACATACACACATACAGACATACAGATACACACACACAGACACAGACACACAGACACACACGATGAAAAGTCGGTCATTCAAAGTTAATCTTCTATCTACTGTATACTCCAGCACGTCCTGAGCCCATGGGCATCTGGAGCAGAATTATTTACAGCTGATGGGGTGAGAGGGAGACAAGAGGGAGTGGATGGAATCTCAGGTGAGCATTTTAATGACCCTCCCTTACCCCCTCCTCCTATGAGGAAATGTCGATATGCCCTCCTTTGTTAGGGTCTAGTGTGGGCCATCACAGTTGCTCTGATTAAGATGCTATATTATACCTGAGGATGGTATTTTGCAATATCTGGACATTGGAAAGATCCAAAACCTAACGTTTACTATGGCTTTTGAGGGAATTGAAATGACTCCATATGTGAAAATGGAGAATTCCTCAGCTAAAGAAAAACGCAGACTCTCAGACTTTGACAGAGCCTTAATGACTCTCAGACTTTGACAGAGCCTTAATCCAATCGCATGTAAAGCTTACATCTGTTTCAATATATCCCTACTGTGTGAGATTCCAGATTGTTCTATCAAAAAGTCTATCCATATTAAAAATCCATAGCATCCACTCTTGGGGTCAGATTCCATTAGATACATAGAAGTCGTTCTGTTCAACCTAATGAGGCTGCAAACTTCTTCAGTAAGAGGCTGTGCTATATTGTTTGGACACTGAGGATCCCACCAGCCCGTGTGTGGAACGGTTGCCCGAGATGGTGCTGTGGGAAGTGTGGGGGCCTTTGAGATGTTGGCCTTGTGGGGAGCCCTTGTGGGGAGACCTGGAGGGTGTGATGGAAGCAGGTGGGGGGGATCCTGGCAGGCCTTCCCGCTCTGTCTATTGACTGGCTACACCATCCACTGCTGCTGTGGGGTGCCACCCTCTCCAGGACTCAACCCAAAGGGACTGCTTGACCTTGTTACTTCCAGAACCAATGAGCCAAAAGAAATGCATTCTCCTTAAAGTTAATGCCTCAGACCGTCTTCACAGTATGCTGATGCTGACTAATACAGGCTGTCCATCACAGCTTACAGTACCTTGATGAGAGGTTTCTGCTGGAATTAAAAGAAGAACACGTTCTTTATTGGGGGAGATTATCCTGTATAATGATACATGATCTGTATATTTAAGTTCTATTGAAAGCATCTGATAAATAACGAATATTACTGTTTAAATGCTGTGGCTGCTGTATTATATTCTTTTCAATCTTATAATTATACCGGTTTGCTTCATGCATTGGCCTATACCTTCATTATAAAATAACATGTGATGACTTTACAGATATTATTTAGTGGGTATCAGAACATACTGTCTGAGACATGAGGCAAGAAAGTTGGAATCCCGCTGATGTAAGCATTAGCAGGCCTCAATTTTTGCCCCAATCCGACCGCATCATCTACGGAACCCTGAGCAGGTCATTCCACTTCACTTACAAATGGCAAGGGTTGAACTAAACGTTCTGTTAGCATTCTGTCCACCCTCACACACCATTTTTCACTTCTCTGTCTCGTGTGGTGGGGTATTAAAGAGACAGAGAATACAGCCTCCGACCTTCAGTTCAGTTCTGATTTAAATTGTCCGTCTCCGCTTACATAAACTGTTTAAAGCCAGGGGTGCTTTTTCCTCGTCTCTTTTCAGAACACTTTTCTCCAGGAAACAGTGCGCAGAGAGTGTGAAGAACGCTTTGAACTGACAGAGGCTTTGAGTCAAGCCAGAGAACAGCTCCTGGAGCTCAGGAGGAGTGGAGGAAGCTTACCGTGTTCCCTCAACAAGGGCGCCCTAACCTACCCTGCCACCGCAGTCAGTAATCACCGCGAGCGAAGCAGCGTGAGGCAGAACTGTGGACGAGGCACCAACACAACCAGCCTGCATGGACTGCCAAAGCCCGCTGCTTCCCTAACCCCGGATAAGCTCAAGAAGGTCATCAGCGCCGGACTGCCCACCCTTCCCCAGACATATCCTCCCAAGGGCCGAGCGTCTTCAGTAAATGAGACCAGGCAGAGGTTGACTGCCATCCTGAGCCGGAGGCTGAGTCAGCAGTGACGACCTGAGTCAGGAGCCGGTTCAGCCCACGGTGTACACACCCTTCACAGCTTGCCAGAGACTCACTGTAGCCGGGTGCCCAGAAACACATGTCTGCAGATATATTTAACGAGGAATGTAAAAAGCTAGGGACTGTGGAGCAATATTTTTCAAAGGGCTTTGGAAATTGCAACAGATAATGAAGTTGGTATTCCAGAGGGCTGATTTCTATTTTCATGTCTATCTCATATGCCCTGCGAGCCTGGCCTTTGAGGCTTCACACCCCAGCGGATTTTTCTTTCTCCCTCCCTCCCTTCCTGCCTTTCATCCTCCCGCTCCCCTTCCTGCTTTCTTTCCGTAGCAAGCAGATCATCTCCACAAAAAGTAGATTATATTGGTTTTATTGGCATTTGTTCATTTGTTTATTGAACTAAATGGGATATGGTAAGTATACCAAATGGAAAAAGAAAGTCCTTAGCTAATTTCCAAAGTACATACTTCAAATACTCGCAGAGCTAGTTAATAATCACCATCAGATGCTCCTTTCCCTCAGCCTACCTGGTTGTCTGAGTGCTTTGTAGGCTGGGTCAGAAGTAATGATAGACAGCCTTGTAGAAGACCTTCTACCGAGACCCTGGGGACCTACAAAATTATGGTGGCTCCCATTCAGGAAAAAGTGGTTTGATTCTCAGATTATGAATATCGTTTCAGAAAACAGAAGACATGACCGTGAAAATATTTCTTGGTGGATATTTTCTGCATTGAATGATTTCTGGCGCACAGCTGAGTTCTGTTGGACTTAAATTCTCCAGCCGTTGGGAAGAGAACTAATACAAGATTGCTTAGTTCAAAGAACGTAAGGCTAATTTGGATTCAAAATTGATTACCCTTGGAAATGGGTAACTGATTACAGTTTCTATTCTCGGGGTGAGACTGTAAAACAAGATCCGCTATTTAAAGCTATCTTAAAGCCACCAACTCGGGGCTGTTCCTACCTCAGGCTAGTGCTCATCTGTCTTTTCTCCAGCTGATCCTTGTCTTTATGTTTCTGGGGGGTAAAAAACCGAATCAATTCCTCCACCTGCTGTCTCATGGACATTCAGCCTTCCCCTTCTCATATAGGGAACACATGTGACTAAAGCACACTAAATTGCCCACTTTGCTGCAGTATTGATGAGGGAAACCATGGGTACCTGGCATCCTTACCACTGCGTAAAAGAGTAACGTGACTAAACAAAATCTTCCTAAGGCTTACTAGAGTGTTTTAACTTTAAGATAATTCCACGTTAGGTGCCCTGATTTCCTGACTACTTGAGGTAGGAGTCTTTGTGTTAAGGATTAGGATACTTCCTGCTTTACAGAGGTTGCCATTCTGCATAATGACATTTGACAAGAGTGCACAGCGCCACCCTCACATCTCTATAGAAGTAGGCCAAGAGCATGTGGCCTGACTCAGGGAGTATACTTAGAGACAGAAGTTGAACCAGGACCCTGTCACTTAATCCTGGTCTTTCCAGCCCTAAGGGCTTCCCAAGCCTCCATCATGAATGTTGTTTGCCGCACCCACACTAGAGTTAATTAATATTTGTCCTTTTTAAAGTGCATTCACTTTTCAAACTTGAGTCTGTATAAGAAGGAGAGCCAATTCAGGGAAGAAGAACTATAAAGTGACAGATGCCCTTGGCTAATTATGTTGTTTCTAGTAAATGGTAATACAAATGTGTATCTGTCAAAATAAGAAACGTTAATGGTGTTCCCCTTCCTTGATATCATCCTGTATAATGCAGCAGGGACCAGTGCACTAGGTCTCCTGGTTCTGGACTTTGTTTGCATGCTGAATTATAAAAACCTGTGACATAAGGTAGACGGTAAAGCGAGCAAAGGCCCAGAACATCTTGAGCAGCAATCTCTACCATCAGGTGAGACATGCTTTTTCACTGTTTTGCAATTTCAGCTCCCCTTGCAGGAGCCATAGGCATACAATGAGTTTCTTTATTTTTACTATGAATGCAGGTCAATAAGGAAAGTCACACGTAAGCCTCTCTAAACGGATATAAAGACTACCATTGCAAAACCTGGTTTCTTAGTTTGTTGATACACTCTTGTTTTACAATGAATGTCTGTAAGTCAGAATGGAACCATTGTCTGTCATAAAGTTGTGTTGTATGCTACAGAGGTATCAGAGAGGTATGGATAATCAGAAAATGATAATTACTTTAATTTAACCTATACCATCTGAATAGTGCAGATTGAGCTGTGGGCATATGTATTTAAAGAAAGAAGTCTTAAAAGTGGCACAAGCACATGTAACCTAGAGGTTAAAAACACGTCTCCTTGATTTTCCCAGGGTTGAACCCTTGGCATGAAAGAGTATCATGAATGTTAGGACACTAGTGAGGCCTGGAGACTGGGTCAGTGATCAAGAGCTCTTGCTGCTCTTGCAGAAAGAACCCTGGTTTGGTTCCTGTCGTCCACATGGCAGCTCACAACCATCTGTAATTCCATCCAAACGATGCCCTCTTCTTACTTCCCTGGGCACTGCACACAGGTGGTACACATACATGTGTCCTGGCAAAGCACCCATTCACACAAAGTAATAAGATCATTTTAAAATAATAAATAATTTTAGATTTCTGAAGTTTCTAGGCCTCCTGAGTTACAGGTTAATCCTAAAGCTTACTTATTTTTTCAACAGACTTGGAGACTTTCATGAAAAAGCATGGTGAGAACTTTAAAAAAAAAAGACATAATAAAGGTCTTCACGGCTCATATAGTAGGGGCCAAGAATAAAGCATATGCAGAAATAATATAGATGGGAGGTGTTGAGTAAAGCGTTCAGAGCAAGGTAGTAGACAAATCTTAGTAGAGGAATCAGGTATGCTTCAAAAAAGAATTGGTACATACAACAAGTCTTTAAAAAGAGGAGTGGAATTGTACAGAAAGGTATACCAGGTAGAAGAAATGTATAAACAGAGTCACAGACACAGGAATCACAGGAAGCATTTGGTGAGGGGGCAGGAGTAACAGCCTGAGTACCTGACAGGCTGATCTCGTAGCATGAAGGTGTTGACTAAGGGCCAGTGCACGCTTTTAGCTGGAAGTGGCATGTGCTTGGCTGAAAATTAGGAGCTTTGCCCTGGCGAGGCTGTGCTGGGGTGCTGTGGGATGGGAAGGCTGGAGGCTGCAACAGCGGCTGGCAGCAAGTAGTCCAGGCAACTTAATGAAGTCCTAATGAAGATGTTTGAGTTGGGAATAAGGACTAGGCATCAAATTAAAATTCTCTTCAGGGTAGGGAAGGGGGATTTTTTTTTCTCCTGCTAACTGCAATTTGAAAGTATTGCCAGTCCGTGACCCATTGGCAGGAGTGCATTTGATGAGCATGGTTCTAACGAGAGGACCCTCTCTATTTAAGATATTAGAGCCCCTCTGAATGATGGGAACTAGTGGGAGCTGCATTTCGTTTGGGAAACACGTGATCCCACAGACTACTGCGCATGAAAACATTCCTTACAGGAGCGTACAGATCTGAAAAGTGTTGTAAGAATTATGGAGGAAGAGTGAGAAGTGGACATTAAACAGAAATAATTGTGTCTTGACTCAAAGAATGCAGCTAAACAGGGAGATTCTGGAGTGATGCTGTGCAATAAAACCTCCTGATGTTCACTGTTTATGAAGGGAAATATAAAAGAAAATGCTCAATTAAAGTGAAGGTTATCTGAAAATCTTCCCATTTTATGGTACTGAAGAGACCGATCTATCACCTGGTCCAGATGTGTATCTTATGCAAGTAGATAATAGTTCACTTGGTTAGTTTTCTCTTTGCATAACTGTGTAACATCAGACTGAATGAAAGAACCTGGGCTTCAACTTCTGGCTTACACATCTCATTTCCAGACAAAGAATTCGATCAGTGTGCCAGCTTTTTCCTACTTGAGTAGGAAAAGTCAGCCCTTCCAAAAGATCAGCATCCGCTAGCAGATTGTTAGAAATGCAGAATTTCTCACCTCACACCCAGACCTACTGACTGAACTATCCTCCCTCTCCTCTCCCCTCTCCTCCCTTTCCCTGCCTTCCTCTAGCTTCCTCTCCCCTCCCTTCCCCTCCACTCCTCCTTCCCCTCCTCTCCCCCTTCCCTCCTTCCCTCCCCTCCTCTGCTGCTCTCCCCTCCCCCACACGTGCCCATGCTAAGCAGTCTATCACTGAGCTCTAACTCCAGCCTGAAGTCTTAGAGATTCTCAGGTGATTTGTATTTGCATCTACTTACCACAAGATAGACAAAACAGCCTTGCTGTAGTTAGTCTCTCGTGCCTAAGTGAAAACAGTGGTGTGATGAGGACCCCCCCCCATGCACCACATTGACCCATTTAACACCCATTTCCAGTGCATTAAGATTCTTCTATGTGGCCATTGATTGTGAATCCATAACTCTCCAGGAAAACTAGTGGTTAAGGAAAATCAATATTCATTCCTAAAACTCTAAAATACATCAGCGCCCACAGCTCTGAGTTTGAGAACAACTGGAGATTTTATTGTTTTAATCCAATAGAGGCATTTCGGTTTTAATCATTGGCAACTCATTGAATAATCATAAACTTTAATCTCATAAGAGCATGTATTTGAACTTCCGTTTATTCTTGTAACGGTGATGCTCATTCTCTTCTGAGACTTGTGAAATACAGAATACTAGGGGAACTTTCTCGGGTGATGAAATAAACACAGTAAAATTATCCCTCCAGGAAGTAGTTCTGAATCGTTTAAATATAAAACTAACTTGTGGCGTTTCACCTGGATAAATATGTTTTAAAGGCAGAATTAACACCGGCTAATTGGAATTCAGTTCAGATGCACAGTCTCACAAATGTGGATAACACAGTGAGGTGTTAGGTGCGCTTGCCCGTGAGTGGCCTGAGCTCATTCCGTGATACCGTGGGACAGCCATCTTCTTTAGCTGTGCCATCCTTTCTTTCCTCGTTCTTTCCGGCATCACACACGTGCAAGTGAGCCTGCGAACAATGGGAGACACGTTGTTCCTCTCTTGTGCTCTTCCTCACAGCTCTTCTGCTGAGCCGTATCTCCAGTCAAGAAAAGAATGAAGGAAGCCAGTATCACAGATCACAGCACACACACACCTGTGATTACAGCACCCAGGAGGTAGAGGCAAGGGGATCACTACAAGTTCAAAGCCAGCCAAGGCTGCATATAGAGATCCTCTCAGTCAGTCAATCAATCACCATAAAAATGAGACAGATTGATTTCATTTGCCACTTAGAAGTTTAAAACCTATTTAAAACTTATTAACATGTTTAGTGCCAATACTTATATAAGTAAAATAAAAAATACTTTTCATGTTAAGTAACTCAAACCCAACAATTAGACTTGTGTAATTTAGGATATTGAAGCATTTTAGACGCTTTTATAAGGTATCCGTGTGAGGAGGATTAATGCTGCCAGTAGATTTATTTGCCGAAGATGTGAGCATCTGGCCTGCCTCGCTGCCAGCCCTGTCTCCATCTCCCAAGTGAGCTCGATGTGGCTGAGCACATTAATCTGGAGAGATCTCTTGGTCTTCTGTCTTCTTGAAGCAAATGAGTTCTCCAGTCGTAATTTTCTATCCAAAGCCTTAAATTTCTAGGGAATTAAGGTCACTGCCAAGATTCAAGTGACTTCTTTTCACTGATTAAAAGCAGGGTTTCTGAAAACCCGGAGTAGCCAACTTTCCACTCACTATTACCAGACTTTAAAATAATGTATTTGAGGTTTAAGCCTGGGTTGCAAGGATCGAGATTGGAATCATTTTCTTTTTCCATGCGGTATACAATACTTAATACAGAAGCTGAGATATGTGCTTTTGGTGAGTTAGAGAAAAAAATTCACCACTTTAACAGCCCTGGGCGTAAGCCTAATGTACATGTTCCCTCCAGACTCAGTTATAACATTTGCTAATGTTCCCTAAATTAAAAAGGGAAAAAACTATGTCTCTCTTGCACATATTTAGGTTGGAATCATAAATAATAATAAGTGTAAGTAGATGTTTTGTTTTAGGTATTTTAAAGATGGCCAGAATGTTATAAATTTTGGCACTTGCAAAATTTTTAACTTTAGGATTTTTTTTTATGACTGCAAAACCTTTCTTGAACTTCCATACTAAGTTACTGTACATACATGCATACCTTTCTGTAGCTTTTCTAGTTCAAGCTGCTAGATTAGTTATTGCTCTATCACCTTAATATGACATAAATATATATTTTAATGGATAATTTTGAATCACAAAAATGAAATGTTATTAGTAGTGCATTTCTTTTTTAATTTAGTGTGTGCAGCTGTTTGATGAGCGCATGTGAGTTTGCAAGTGCCGTGGTGTGTGAGTAGAGGTCAGAGGGCAACTTTGGAGATTCGGTTGTCTTTTTCCGCTGTGGAATCTGGCCCTCAGGCTTGCACGACACTTGCTCTCCTCCCTGAACCATCTCACTGGCCCTCACGGTGCTTTCCAGATGAGTTGGATCATACCCTTTTCTTTATATCTAATGGAAAATTAAAATATATCTAGGGATAGTGACCTATGCCTATAATCCTAGCAGTCCAGAAGCTGAAGCAGGAGGATGGTAAGTTCAAGGCCAGCCTGGACAACATAATGAGTTATTGGCCGGTCTGAACTATGAGACCCTGTCTCCCACAGACTGTAATGACATCAGAGGAAGAACAGGAAGGGAATGGAAGGAAGACATTTACCAAAAACAATAATGATTGACTGATCTGTATGTGGGATATTATTTGAGACAAGTTCTGCTGTGTAGCCCAGGCTGGCCTTGAACTCATGATCTTCCTGCCTCAGCTTTCCAACTGCTGGGATTACATGTATGTACCATCATGTGAGAATTGTGTCTTATTAACTAGTGAAAAAAATTCAACATTTTAAAAACTTTTCTCCGGTATATCTGTAAAGATACTAAATGAAAGCATATCAATAAATGTTGATAATTTATAAATTGGAATTATACTAAAAAAGAACTGGTGATACTAATGTCTACTACATGTGTTATTTAAAGGGTCTTTATAGCTAATTTGCATCCTAGGCACAAATTCCAAGTAGAAGAGTCCTTATAAAAGTGTATTGTGGGAGGAGAGAGTTTCAACTTTTCTTAATAACGTCACTCTTGCCTTGCTTTAGTGAGACTCCCTCAAACATATACTTTGGCACAGGATATAAGGGAAAATAATCATTAGTGTCCAGAATTGATTTGTTCCCATCACTGTCCTTTACCTTGAATCTGAACTCAGAAAATTTCAACATAGTACAAAATGTCAAATGTCTACACTACATCAACAGGAATGTCTGTACAGGGAAATCCCAAAAGCCCTGTGTGGGTAGATACTGCAAGCTAAAGACTGCTGACCAAGTCAGGATACTATTTGTACCCAACATTAGACCTAATTAGGGCCCCAAGACCCACAATCCAGTATGGAGGCTGTTCTGCTTTCCCTTAAGGTGCTACCACTCAGGGGTGTCAGAGGCTGTTGAAGTTTTCCCTGTCTCACTGGACCTTGATTCCTAGATAACCAAAGAAGCAATGTAAGGGAGCACTGATACTGTCCTTGTCTTTTTCTGTAATGTGTCTCCATGGAGCCCCTGGTAATACTTTAAGCCAGAGACCCCACAGCCAACCAAGCTCATCAACTCACAGAATCTTAAGACACACCTCCCAGTGAGGTTGGAAATACAGCCACTTGTAGGGAGAGAAGTACAGCCCTGACAATTGGACTTCAGGTCAGAGAATCTGAAATTCTTTGTGGCCTACATAGTATGAGTTCTAAGCCAACAATAGTTATTGTCATTAAATTCTTATTTTTACAAATCATCTTGGAGCAAAAGAGATTGTTTATTCCAGCCATGCCCTGACTGTAGTACACAGAGAAGAAATGTTACAGGTTTGGGTGTTCTACTTAAGGATTTAGGAATAATTTGAAGGCCTTTAGAAGTGGTTTCTAACCATAATTTTTTCTGCTCTCAGGGATGGGACCTAGGACCTGCTGGTGAAGTGCTTTGCCACTGAGCTAATCCCATAGCAGTTAACCTTCTAATTTCATGTTTTAAATTGCCTGACTCATTTCAGCGGCACTTGTGTACACTCGAGGTTTCTCAGCTCTGATGTTCTAAATATCCTGACTTTAACTTCACAGACACACTCTTCATTGCCCATGGTCCTTAGCTACCTAGGGCTCCTGCAACCATCCCTACCCTCCTGGGAACTAAGGCTGTTGCTAGGGCCCAGGACACGGCATCTCACTGGGTCTGAGGACATGTGCCCAACTGAGCGTTCACACACGGACTGCACTTCAGCCCCAAATCTTTATGAACTAGTATTAATTTTTATTAAGATGTTTGTCTCTTCTGGCCTTAGTGGTGTGAAAGCAGCTAAACCTTTAATGAAGACAATAGTGTGTTCATGTACTATTGAAGTCCGGCCACTAAAGGTGAACTGGAAACTCATCTTCTAAGTTTGATGCCGCAGTTTCAACACAGAGCTTTCATTAGAGTTCTGAATTCCCTGGAGACGTGGCAAGGGGTTTGTCTCAGCCACTCTCCATTGTCCTTGGGTTTAGTCCTAGCTCTCTCCAGGGGATGATTTAGCCTCTAGTCTCCCAGCTTACCTAAATGTATCTAGAAGTGGGCCTATTCCACTCCCGTAGCTGAATCAGGCTGGGATCAGAGTATCCCTACAGGTCACTGAAGTCACGAATGAAAAGGCCTGGGGCCCTCCCTGCCTGGTGGAAGGGCTGATGCCACAGGCTTCAGGTTGTGTCCCTGCTTTGTTCTTGAGGTTTAAGGGCAGAATTGGATCTCCAGTGTAGATGGCATGACATCTGCCTAACAGGTCCAGGGGCAGCAGCTGCCTTCCATTGCCCATCTAACACCTGGTAATGAAAAAGGGTCAGACGCAGCAGGCAAGCTACCAGACAGCAGCAAGAATCTGGGCCCCTGTGTTGTGTCCCATGGTTCTGCCCCATGGCTCTGCCCCCCTAGATGCCAAGGCTACCTTGCTCAGAATATGTGGAGATGGTGATTCCTCAAAATGGCTGGAGGGGAGACTTATGTGAGTAACAGTGGACAGAGAAAGGGGACTGAAGGTGTCACAACCCCAACAGAGGAACTTTCCGGGGCCGTGAGGATAGATAGCCCCAGAAGAATGACTAGCAGGAACAAAGAACTCACAAGAGTGTAGTCCTTGGTGGTGGGGTGGTGCCAACCACTGTGGGGTTAACCAAAACAGTAACAGCTATTGAAGTTACAAAGGGCAGAGCACCTTGCCAGAGGTTTGACATGCATGCCACTTACTTGTCACCAGAGCCCTAGGAACTCGCTGCACCAGCTGCCTTCTACAGGTGAATCAGGCACAGAGAAGCTAATCAACCCTCAAGACCTAGCACAGCGAATAGGTGGCAACCCTTGGCCTAGGAGACTAGGCCATACAGATAGAAAAAGGCAGTATGGTCTCTGCGTACCACGTGATCCTCCAAGTGTGGCTCTGAAAATAGACTGTGATCTTCATCCCGGAACAATCTGGACACCATCTCTGTACTCTGGCCTGCTGACAAAAAAGTTCAGCCTCATCTGAGGGCAAACATTCAACATAAAACCGGCTTCAAGTGTGTGGAGAGTGCATTACGGAACAAAAGAGTGTATGTAGACGGGCCTGGAAAGGATCTTCAAATCCTCTAGGGGGTCCTATAGAAAGTTATTTATATCCTAAAAAAAGGAAATATTGTAGTCTTTATATTCCTTTTTAAAAAATAATTTTCTATATTAAATCTTTAGGTCCTGTACTCTTATACTTTTTTCTAAACAATGCTCCCACATGGGGAGATAATGCTTCTCCCAGAAGCCATAAGTTTATAGGCAAAAATCTCAGTGCCGGGTGTGCAATACCTCCCTTTGAGTTTTCTGTCAAAGAGCTTCCAGAGTATTTCCCCAAAATAATACAAAGAATTACCATTGTTTTTTGGTTGCCTATCAAAAAATTGATGGTAAGACTTTGTTGCTGAAGACACCACACACAGTCAGTCACAGGCTATGGAAAAACCAAGCCGGAACTGAGTTGGAATCTATCTCCTTTCTAGATAGTTATCATAATTGTGGTAAGTGCTATGGAGGCTGCTACAGAAGTCAACAGGCTTGCCTAGGTGTGAGCTACAATGATGAGCAGCCTGGAAAGTCATACTCATTGGTGCAATAGTGGCATGGTACGGTAGTAACCAACCACTCTGTAATTGGATCTAAGCCCCCTCCACCAAAGGGAACTCATTTGGAACTGGCCTGTAACCAATTTGGAACTATAACCTGTGGTTGGGTGGTCAGAGGCCCCAGAGAGGAACCAACTAGTAGTGCTTCGCTAACTGGAAATACCTTCTAAATATTCACCCTTACACTCATATGTAGATTAGTGCAGCTCTCAGCTTTCGTCAAAGAAGCTTCATTTTGCAATGCACTGTCTATAAAAACAATTGAAGTGCTTGGCCCTAAATGGGACATCTATGTTGCTACTACTACCTTCCTCTAAGGCTCAGGGAGCATTGTGGAAGAGAAGGATAGAAAGCTTGTAAGAGTCAGGTTGAGAAGGACTGTTGCAAAACTCTCCTCTGGACATACCATGGCCATGGCTGATGCACTCACAAACTCAGCAGGCCTACGCAAGATCAGATCCATCATTTCATCAAGGAAGGGGAAAGGGCTCATATTGTGAGTATTAGTTGAAGATGTGTTGTGTTTGTTTATGCCATGGAACATTTGTTTAATGATGCAAAGATGTGTTGCATTTTTTAAAATGCTGCACTTGTTTAACTCTGTGAAGCTGTGTTATTTTGCCTGCTTAGAACACCTGATTGGTCTAATAACGAGCTGAACAGCCAATAGTGAGGCAGGAGAGAGAAATAGGTGGGGCTGCCAGGCAGAGAGAATAAATAGGAGGAGAAATCTAGGCTTGAGAGAAGAGGGAGGAGTGTGAAAAGAAGGAGAGGAGGATGCCAGGGGCCAGCCACACAGCCACACAGCCACACAGCCACACAGCCACACAGCCACACAGCCAGCCACAGAGTAAGAAGGAAAGAAAGATACATAGAACAAAGAAAGGTAAAAAATAAAAAGCCCAGAGGGAAAATGTAATTAAAGAGAAACTAGATAATTTAAGTTAGGAAAGCTGGGTAGAAACAGGCCTAACTATGGCTGGGCATTCAGAAGTATGAATAAGTCTCTGTGTATTTATTTGGTATTTTGGAAGACCTTGTTTTCTTTGGGGGGGGGGATGGTGATGGTTATATCCCTTATCGTTTTTTCATTACTCATTTTTTCTCTTTTTCAAGACAAGGTTTCTCTGTGTAACAACCCTAACTGTCCTGGAACTCACTTTGTAGACCAGGCTGGCCTTGAACTCATAGAGATCTACCTGCCTCTGCCTCCTGAGTGCTGGGATTAAAGGTGAGTACCATCACTGCCCATCTACTCGTTTTTTCTTTATCCTTTCCCATCTCCACTGTATGCTGGGGTTGATAGAGCATATACTCTCTCATCAAGCATACCCATAGCCTTATACCTGCTTTATTTGCTGTTATTTTTAAAGATATTTTTTAAAGTGGCTGTGTGTGTGCAGGTACCCACAGAGGCCAGAAAAGGATGTCAGATCCCCTTGAGCTGACACTAACGTGGCTGTAAGCTACCTGATGTGGGTGCTGGAATTTGAATTCAGATCCTCTGGAAGAGTGGGAAGCTCTCAACCAGTGAGCCCTCTCTCTAGCCTTTAAAAAAAAATCATTCACTGGCGGCGGTGGCGGTGGCACATGCCTTTAATCCCAGCACTCAGGAGGCAGAGCCAGGCAGATCTCTGTGAGTTCAAGGCCAGTGACAGGCACCAAAACTACAGAGACACCCTGTCTCAAAAAATAAAAAAACAACAAAAAACCACTCTGACAGTTTCACACATGTAGTAATGAATCTTGTTCCTTTCACCCTTTACTCTGTCTTATCTTTCT